GTAAAGGTTTATGCCATTTGTATCTTTGATGCACCCGATGGTAGATACAATAGCGGCAGCATCGACGTTAAAGTTGTACTCCGATAATCTCAGTGCTTATTTAGGTCCGACGGGCCTGCAAAGCTGTTTTTGCTCATGAGTCCATGGTTGCTCTGACCTCGATTACTTCTCCTTTCATTTCTTATAGAGCTCCGCCCGGACCCACTGCTTTTTCGGTCTCCATTGTACGGTGGATACCGATCCTTGTTTAATCTCGGTTCACGATTGATGTATGTATTGACTCTGCCGATGGTTCTGATGGGATACACGGAGTCGGAAGAGGACCCAATCTGATCATCTTCGACCATGATTTTCAGTTGATATCGTTATAGACATCAGCCCAAGTGACAACCGGATATTCTACCAAGTTTTCTTTTAACTGTTGTGAAGCTAACAAGCTCCGAATGTTGAGTCCTTGGGTGAAAGCTTGAACTGCCCAATCATCAGTGACCGGTGGCAGGTCCATCCATTCCATTTGAAACTGGGACACGAATTCCCTAAGCATCTCATTATCCTTCTATTTTACTTTGAAAAGGTCTGACTTCCTGGTCTCGACAATTGAATTTGTAAGTGGCTTTAAGGATATGCAGATTAACTTGACACAAAGCGATAAATTAAGTTACAACTGAAATAAATAATGATAAAGTAAATTCAAACCACACGAATTGAACAATTACAGTCTTGAAAGGTCAGTCACACTCGAACTGGATGCACTTCGATTTGTATCAAGATACAGAAGAATAAGAGCTTAAAGAGAGAAATAATATTGTATTGCTTTGGAATGCATGTTACAATGTGTCAAAAGAATTATCAGACACCCTTTATATAGTAGAGGAGTCCTACTTTAGAAACAATTCTATAAAAGATAAAAAAAACTCTCTTGATTTGCCAATTGCTGGTTCCTTATTGATATGTGCCGAGATTCCAACCAGTCACGGATATTTCGGTCCTCTGTTGGCTATGCTATCAATGTTTTTTCGAACTCGTTTGGGGCCAGGGTCGATTCTGGGATCACGGCCTCGATATTCTCGAAGGCAGGCTTTCTGACCCTGGGTTCTAGCCCAGCGGAACTTGGGGTCGATCTTCAATTCTTCATTACCATGTTTCGAGCCTGATCTACTGTATCGTAGGCGAGCTCGATTTCTCCCGTATACAAGCATCTTAGTACGTAGCTCGGGGATCTCTCTATATATCTAAGACCTCAATTTCTAAAGTAGAAAATTTTATTTTGGCTTTGCCAAATAACTTTAAGTTTCCTATGCTAACGAACCGAGTCTTTTATGGAGTACCACTTACCAGGTCAATTTTCATTGTCGGCAATCTTTTTGTTTAATTTGAACCTATAGTGTAAGACCAAGGACATAATATTATATACCCTCATATTTATTGGGTCTAATAGGAAACTGATGCGTTCTCTAATATACAGAATATCATGTATGTTAAAACACAAAAGAAGTCAAGAATTTGTTGATTTACTTGGTTATAGGCAGTGGTGGAGCCACATTGACTCAATCGTGATTGTGGTCAGTTGAATCCTTTTTTGCTCGAAAATTACACTATGAATTTTTATTTATAGTACATATTAATAGTATTAATGCTGAAAAATCTTCTAGCGTGGTGATGAAGGGATTCAAAAATCCCTCACTGATTGTAATAGGGATTGGAATATTCTTAAGCAAGTTGTTCCCAAATTATTACTCATTAATTAATGTTGATTGGTGAACGCATTTCCCATTTAAAGATAGAAATTCGTTTTTCTTAGTGAGAGGACTTCAAGGGCATTTGCATCTGTACCTGCTTTTTGTGTCAGATTTTAACTTGTACCTGCTTTGCAAAAAAATTGCAAGTGTATCCGCTTTTTTACATAATTTCAGCACACGGGGCTGAAGTAGCAAAGACAATCACGCAAAACTTCAGCATTCTAGTAGCCGGGCCTGAAGTTCAGCTCTAGAGCTGAAATTTTTGTGTTGTAACTGGGAAACTTCAGCTCTAGAGCTGAAGTTTTTGTGTTGTAACTGGGAAACTTCAGCTCTAGAGCCGAAGTTTTTGTGTTGTAATTGGCTACTTTTAACTCCCTCTCTGTAATGCACATAACACATGAGTATCCCGCGAGCATGTTTACTTGACCAAAATGGGATATTTCTATAACCACCGTGTCATCGTTCGTGGGAAGTCGTTGCTTCCATGGTTCCCCATCCATTCTCATAAATGTATGCTCAGCAGCACCATTGTGAAACTCAAATTGGATTCTGTTAGCCTACAGATATATAATAGAGAACAACATTATAAATCCATGATAAAACCAAAGAGCATTAGCTTCTCTGTATTATGAGTACTTATTAACCAAAGAACTTAACAAAATGCACCAGAGAAACACATTGACAAATTGATCAAACATATTTTCATCTTAAAAATAATAGCTGAAGTTATTAACTGCTACTCCCAAGGTGAAGAAAGATTTTCGACGCAAGACCAATAAAAAAAATAAGCTCTGCATTTTGTCTTTTATTGAGAAGAAGAAAACGAAGGAGGGGAAGAAGAAGGAGAAAGGGGGCTGAAGTTATTTAAGAAGTGGGAAGTTAAAAATTTTAAAAAAATGGGTATAGATTAAATGGGGGCGACCAAATAGGGAGCCCCGTACAATTTTTACGACTTCAAAACATGCATTATTTTAAATTGATAGGTAAAGGTAGGAATGAGAAAAAACCAGATATCTGAAAATGTTGGGAAAACTACTATTAGATCCCAACGACAAGCAGATATAACCTCTACAATGCGACACAAGTATTCCCTTGAATGAAGATATATAGGTAGTGGAAATATATGATACCAGATAGAAAAGGACAGACAACATTTTGCTCAATATCCTAAAGAATGCAATATGTGATTTTCCGGAAAATGTGATTCATGAAAAATGAGTGGTTTTCTCACTTATTTTCCTTTGTTTGGTTGGTGAGTGGAAAATATTTTCCGGAAAATATTTTTTATTATTTGGTTAGAGAGTAGAAAATATTTTTTTTAGGAAAATATTTTTTATGCAACTCTCCTCACCCCTCCCCCTCCCCCTCCCTCCAAGTCTCTAAAAATTGACACAACTCAAAGGAACTAATGTGCTACTTTACTTTTTTATGCAAAAACTGCGGACTTTCGAACACGTAAACTTCCAAACACATAAACCTCCGAATTCATAACTTCGGAACTTGTAAAATTTCGAACCTGTAGACCGAAAGATGAAAAAACTAAAACTGAAATTATATAAAAAAATATTTTTTTTCCGCGGGAAGGGGGGGGTATGGATTTCTGCAGAAAAATGAAAAAACAAAAATTTGAAATTACAAAAAAA